CTCACTCAATACGTTTATTCCGTGATATTTCGCACAAGTTAGTCATTGTAACTACAGGGTTGCCAAGGTTGAACTACACACATCCATTATTAACCATAAACGGAACGAAAGCCTTCCTGCTGAAATGTGACAGGTTCGTTTTAAAATATTTTTGCTGGAGCGATCTCAGTGTTTCATTGACCCTATTCCAACTTCATCTTAGCGAAATGGGGAAAAGATTAGGTTCAACTTCTCCATGTATTCCACTGAACTGTGTTAACGCTGCCTCCTTCCATGCGAAATTTGGTTCCCTTTTTTGATTGGCCTTCTCTTCTGTTCGTATTTCATCGTCTTCGGGGTGGGTTAGCAGGTGAAACGTTTTTTGTCGGAAAATGTTTCCTTGCCCAATCGTGGGGACATGATCGGTCAGTTTTGTGACCCTTGCATATTTTTTTACCGTTTTTTTGCTAATACTACTGGTAAAGGAGCAGAAGCGGTCGTGGGCATTTGAAAGAGCATAGGTTCGGCAATCGCATTTGCTTATCATATCACCTGTTTGCTCACTAATTTCCGTACATACACACGCACTACACGTGGGTGACCGCAGTCCCGCTGGCATAGAGCTTTGCTATCACTACGCGGATGTGGCCCTACTCTCACATTTCATCATTCCACTTTTTAAAGCAGTAGATGGACTACAAATTTACGCTGTGGACAAACTATATGCTGTACTGCTCTTATTCCTATCTCGCATCTTTCCAGCTGCAAGAATTTGTTATTTCATACCTGAACCTATTTAGTTCGGCGTTCAGCCCATCCATGATCCGGACTTTTTGGGTGTGTGACGCCAGAACAAGGTAACCTGGTAGTTGACAAGTTTCCATGATCCCTAGCATTTACCTTAATTTCGCTTTCAATTCTTTGTCCCCTCAACATCCCGATAAATGCACACCTTTGAAATTGAATGATTTTTAATGTCTTAGACTACATGGGTTTCCTTTTCCTCATAGTTTGAGGCCCAATTTTGTATAGGATGTTTCCATGCTTTCGAGATTTTATTCCTGAAGCCTTCTTTCTGTACCTATGGTTACTCTTATCCTTACGTTCGCTGCCCTTTCAAGTGATGAAATGGGTGAAGAATTTGGCAATGCAAAGTATTTCCTCTAGGCCTTTCACTTCATTTGTGTGCACCATGATCACTATGTTTGGACCATTGTGCACTTTGAAAGCTTTCTATTTTGAGAGAACTCCCAGTATTAGTCAATTTCTACCTCTATTTGTGTGCGAGTCTTTCACATATGGTTTCTGCAAATTTAGATTACCGTCAGAAGTCTTCTTTCATGCAATTAGAGTTGGTCTTTAACTATTCACCTATTCATTTATGTTTTAATCGGTGATGTCCTTCTCTATTGAAACATTTTGTATAGTTCCCTCAACGGAATTCAACTGACCTATAAAAAGCCTTGTTCCGTGTGGATTTGTTTGCATATGGTCCGGAATGGGTGAGTTATTGAAACTTCTCCTCCGCTCAAATCAAAGCAGACCAGCCTCGTTATGTGGCGTGCGCATGTGTGCTCACGTGATTCTGTGCACAGGCATCAGCACTCATCGCATCTACCATCTCTTTGTTTAACTGTCAGATCCTCCTCAAGGATGCAGAAGGCGAGGTACGTGCAGCGGCAGCGAGCAAGTTGAAGGTCTTTGCGACGGCTCTGGCTCCTGCAGAAGCTCGCGAATCAATCATCATGAAAACCCTCCTGCCTATAGTGCGCGAGATGGTGAGTGAGACGAACATGCAAGTGAAGACTGCCTTGGCCGGTGTAATCATGGCGTTGGCGCCTCTCCTTGGTAAGGAGAACACTATCGAGCACCTGCTACCCATGTTCCTAGTCCAACTCAAGGACGAAAACCCGGATGTGAGTTTTAAATGGGCAACTTTTAATGCACCCGTCTCATCCCTAATGCCAATTACATGGGTTGAATAGGAAACTTCGTTGAGTCAATCCAATAACACTTTGTCACAGGTTTTAGCCTTTTCCCATCCAGCTACTCTTATTTAGTAAAGTTTCTAAATGTTTTTCTCAAGTAGCTGGTGAGACATGTTAAACAGACCCTCGCGGATAGTAAATTCCCCTAGGGTGATGTCGGGTACTGTGGTTGGAGAAAACATGCTAGCTTTAACCGCTCAGAGAATTTCACTGCAGGTTCCGAACTTTGCTCTAGTTCAATCCTTGTTAACTATATTTTTTTTAAGTGCAGTACAAGTGACGAGGTGTCTATAAACGCACCATTGGGCAAATTTTCCAAACGAATGGTAATGAATTCATGTGGCTATAGGCTCTTTCAAAAAGTCTGAGAAACGATGGATCTCTTGGTTCTCTAGTACGGATTCTTGAGGAAAGGAAAAATACAGAAATTAGGCTGCTGTGCTTTTATGCGTGAGTTTTCTGGACTTAATGAGCCTTAAAAGGAATTAATTGTGACTCATCTTCAGCCTCCGCCTCTAATATCCTTACTCTCGTGGTTACCATGAGCCTATGGGTTTGTTGAGGATGGGAGGGAGTTGAGCAAGGATCATAAAATACCTCTTTAATGCTTAGTCTACCTGCAGACGACTTTAGTGAAAATGGTAATGGACAAACTTTTGCACATTGCGATGAGCCAGATTACCCTCTTTAAAACGGGTTGGCTACCTTCAAGTAGAACTCGAAACATCTTTCAAGGCCTTTCTACTCTTGACGTGCGTCGAATGGTATTGTACATATCCTGGGGATGACTTGATATTTGGCATCAGTGGTGTTCTAACTTGCGTGACTTTCTCAGGCTGCATAGGAACTACCTAGCCCACGCTATGTAAACACTGTACTTTTGCCTCCACTAATCTTGAAATTTTGGGCTTGAACAGGACCGATGTTGAAAATGAGTTATGCAGCCCTAATTGGCTCTGGCTTGCCGTCGATGCTTACATTCAACTCTTCTTAATAACAACGTGGCAGATTCGTTGTAAAATTTCTACTAAATTTATTTCTGCTGTCCTCTTGTTATTCACATCTGATCGATTTCATTGCAGAAAAGGCGAAACTATTTATTTACAAGCTTGAATTTGATAGGCATTAATTTTTGGCTGCACTTTCTATGTCTCTTTTGGTAATCATTGCTGTCATCTCTGCTAACCGTTTAAAAATTTGTACTCCATTGAGAGTGTAAACCGTTCGATTGAAATGCTATGGAATTTTCCATCCTCGTTTACTTCTACACTCTGTCTTTTGTTCAAGAAGTCGTCTGCTAATTGCTTAGTTCAATACCTATGTCTCGTTTTCTGATACACAGAATTCACTTTTATCCATTTAACGCCTACTTTGCAAGAGTACTTAATGCGCGACTCTATCTTCGAATGCCATCTTGCGGCAATTCCACTTTTTCGAAGGTCACTGTGGATGGTCATGTTTAGACAATGAAAATTTTTCAACCTTTGCAGATGACTTTCATTGTTCAAAAAGGGGTTACAAACAAGAATTTGTGGTTTGAGTTTGGTGACTTACGATGGCCGTCGAACCTAGCTGTAAACATTAATGAGCCTTGGAAAACTTTTGTTCAATGCCTACCAACTTTATCGTTTTAAGCTCTTATTACTTTTAACTTGTTGGGATATGATCTCCAATGTGTGCCTCCACAAACTGATGCACGTGCAGGTGATTTCCCATTTCTAGAGCCGATTTTGGGGTTTTCCGATATCCGATGCACCTACTTGTCATCGACGGACAAGCACTGTGTTTTAGGCCTTTCTTTTTCTGATCCCATGTGTTGGCATAACCCTCTTTACGGAACTGGTGTTTACAACGTTATTTTAGGTGCGTTTGAACATAATCTCAAATTTGGAGTGTGTGAACCAGGTGATGGGCATTACTCAATTGAGTCAATCCCTTTTACCCGCCATTATGGAGTTAGCGGAAGACTCCAAATGGCGCGTTCGCCTTGCTATCATTGAGTACATGCCCCTACTCGCCAGCCAACTGGGTATCCAGTGCTTCAACGAACAACTCACCAACCTCTCCCTCAATTGGCTTGTCGATCATGTCTACGCTGTGCGCGAGGCTGCTGTTTCCAATCTACGTAATCTCATGAACAAATTTGGTATTGAGTGGGCTAACTCACAGGTTGTCCCGAAGGTAAGACCTTCTCCCCTTAGTTGGGTTCTTCCACTTTTAGCATTCTTTCCGTTTCTAGTGGTGTTTGAAGCAGATGGCTTTTGTAATTCCCAGAGAGGCTATCGCTGAACATTAAGTTGCTTTTCTGCTTTTTCTCGAAATTGTTGACTTCGGTCCATCCGTTTGGTTAGGTTCATACGCCCACGCATTTTGATTTATTCGACATCGTCGCAATCCATCCTTCAGTACATATTTATCCATTCGCCTGTCAATTTATCCATCTGATCATTCTGCCTCGTTAGCTCAGCAGTGCATCTCTAGCTAATGGTTACTTTTCGAAAAATACCTAAGAGCACCATCCAGTCATAATTTGTCACCAGTAGTCTTGGTCTTTAAAACGGATGTCAGAAACAGTCGTTAAAATATCTTTTTAAGGATTTGTATGAAATCTACCATTTGCGTTTAGAGCCATCATCGGAAAACCCGTGGTTGGGAAATGGCCAGCCTCGCATCTTCATCAGGAATTTCACCACAATCATTTATTATTTAGTGAGCGCTCCATGATAACCGCTAATTACTGGTTTGTTTTCCATTGCAGCTGATCCAGTTGGCAAATGATCCCAATTACCTGCACCGGATGATCTGTCTGGCGGCGCTGCGTGAGCTAGGCGAGGCGGAAATTTGTCATCCGGAGATGTTACCGAAGAGTCTCTTACCTACCATCACTCAACTCAGCACTGACGCTGTTCCCAATGTTCGGTTCAAAGTGAGTGCCCTTGGGCACTTGGCAGCATTTAAATAATCTTTTAATGAATTGTTCACTTAAGTTTACTCGGTCATCGTACCCATTCGCAACCAAAGTTAAGGGAATATTGACTTTGCTAATGCTACTCTTTGACGTTTTTTAGACTGTATCAACTGAAATTCCTTAAAAATTTTTGTATGCATTTTCCAGATATCATTCATCACTCCATTGAAGTGGTTATTTTTAACGTCTTGCTATGAATCGAGTATGCTGTCATTTCACGATTGATTCTTGTGGCGTGTTGCGGCCTTTAGATGTCATTAGTCAGTTACACGAGGCCTAACCAACATGACTCGGCAGATTGCGCTTGCTCTCTCTATGCTTTAGAACTGTTTTAGCTGTCGATATCAATTACATGTCGGCTGGATTAAGGGCATTAGCTGAAAAGTCGGTCATTTAATCATTTGCCCCCTCCTGGAGAACTAGCCAAGGGCCTATCTGACGCTAAGTGCTTTATCGTCCACTTTTGGTAGGTTGCTCAAGTGTTGGGTAAGCTGGCGCCCTTTTTGGATAACAATGCAATGCAGAACTATGTGAAACCAACGCTGGAGAAGTTGGGCGCTGATTCTGACGCAGACGTCATCTTCTACGCCAAGGAGGCCTATGAATCACTAGCTGTCACTGCGCGATGATTGGCTCCTGTTACTACCACCGTCACCAGCGCACTTTTCTGCAGATTTTCGATTCTGTCGCCCCTCCTCTCCTCCCAATGGTGCTGCTGTCATCGATTTCCCCATTTTTATCAGACTCGTCAGCCTATACACGCACATAAACACAACTACGCCTATTAACCATCTTCCTCTTCGTCTGCTGCTTGAATATTTATACACACTCGTGTTTGAAATAAGGCGTGTACCCCGTGCACATTTAGGATGTCTCTGCTTCCGTCCCTTTCCCCACACCCTCTCTTGAATTTTTTTACAGAGTAAAATGTGTGCGTTCCACGTCCTTTCCTCTTTGTCTTCTACCGATCTCTTCTTCTCGCCTTCACCTCCCGGCTGATGACTTCTGTACGTCTATTTATAAAACGAAGCAGACTAAATGAGGGCTGTAAATTTCATTCTGCTGTCCGTGTGCTCGGGGAGTATGGAGATACGAAGTTGTGATTGAAGGGGGAGGAGGGATAAATTGCTTGATTCACCTCTCATAACTCGACTCCTTTCTGGTCTGATTTTCGTCGTTTCTCATTCCATACGACCGTTTCTGCCTCTTCCTCGGTCGCACTATGTTTCTACCAATGTTTCATTGTTGATGTGGATAAGAGCAGTACTGATAGAAGCCTTGACTTGTTTGCAGCGCCTGGTGGGGCGTGGTATCTGAAGTGTCTTTTCACGAGATACGGAGTTGGTGACAAAACGCTGCTAACGGCAGGACAATGCATTGATGGCAATGGTTTTAGTGATCTAGCAGATGTCTCATTGAGCTTTCTTGAAGTTCCAGTTGCAATTTCTGCGGTGTTGTCACGTTTATAAAAGCAGTACTTTATGGGAGGAGCACCATATCGAGGATTAAAAACGTGAGGCTCAAATGAACGAAACCAAGGGGGCTATCTTGGTTTGGCGTTGCAATGGTCAAAGCCTTGGGCGTCTTTACTCTACTCGGCTGTTAAGTTGACTGTTATTTATTTCGCATGCACATCTGGTGGATTTTTATGCCAACAAGGTGCCGTACTGCTTCGTCATTGCTGGAGTAATTCGGGTAAGAGCAGTCGGGACTGCTAGCAGTTGCAGTTAAGATTTTTATTGGCACGGACAATGGTTACATAGGAGGTCACGATCCAAAGGTGATTTGCAGAGGGATCACGTAATTTTCACATTCGTTATCTTTTCCATAGATCTGGAGGATTGTAAATCGTTCATCATACCGCCTTTATCATCAACACCAAAAAGGAATAATGTGTGCAAGTAATTAATCACACGAAGGCCAAATTTGACGGGTGAAAGGGAGTAGTTTCCGATCAGAGGGCTTCGAAAACGTCCACTCGGCGCTTTGTGTTGCCGCGACGAATTTTACGAATGGTGTCGAACTTATCCGCGGGCACTGTGAGTGTGTCTTCCCCCGCTCCAACGCTGGAGTCGGTGTCAGTGGTGGCAAGGGTGCTGCCTGCATGACCATTTCTCTTCTCCCTATAAGGTTGGTGATGTTGTGGCTTCTGCAGCTGCTGCTTAGGTAGCAGCTCTCTGTGCAGATTCCGCAATTTTGCCTGTAGTTTGGGATCACGACTTATTGCCGACTGCCGCAGCTCCTCCGAGCGTAGGTTCTCAACCACAGCTGGAGGAAATTCAACCTCTAGAATGAGCAAATTTACGTAGTGACTGAGACTAAATGGTAATCCATGTTTTTGACTCATTTGATCACTGTCTACTTTCGAGGTATTGGTGATTTGGTTAGTTGTCTCAACACAAACTGAACGACCACACGGCAACTTCAGTTTTTACTCATTCAGTGAAAACTTGTTGCATTCAGTACCTTAAAAAAAAGTACAGTCCACACTTTTTTACGCATTCGTCTTGAAAGACTTCCATCAGTACTACTGGAGAAGAGAGGCACTTCATTGGTGAAGCTAGGCATCAGTCCTCATCAAATAATCACTAAATCGGTTTATTTGCGTTCACTGAGTTCGTATACTAATAATCTCCTCACAAATATACCTCGGTTGTTCATCAATCAGAAGTGGAGGTAATGTAGTCAGCCAACCAAATAAGACTAATAGTGGGGTTGTGAGGAGCGAAGGAGGCTTGTAGGGATGTTTTGTTAGGCTTATAATTGACTGTTAGA